CCAGTGACTCCTCAAAAGCAAAGAAATAAAATAACAACAAAACCACAAATAAAACAAAACCCTAACCAAGCAGACGTTGGTCATGAATTAATCTTTACAAAAATTAAATTCCAGACCTGGCAAGTTTGTTTTACAATGCCCTAAAGCTTTCCTGAAACTATATACATCATACTCAACAAGAAGATCCCACAGATTGCTATTGGTATGCTGAAATTCTGTAACTTGCTGTCTCTTGGCCTTACTGGCAAACTCTACTGCTTGAACCCGACTACCTATCAGTAGAGCAACATTTTCCTTGATTTGATACCTTCCTTTACTCTTGTGTGTTTGGTAAGCCTATTTTTATTTATTCAAAAAAATACACAGTTCACTTCCTTCTTACTATCATCACTTTTCAAGTATTTTCTAGAGACTGATGGATATTTTCCTTAGGTTTTAAATTCACAGAGCTGAATTTATTTTAGCAGCAAAATGTTGCTAAAAAGATGGATGTTTCAGTATTGTCTCAAAACTTTTTGAGACATAAGAATATTTTTCTTCAATATATCTCAAACATTGAAATAATACGAGACAAAATTTTAAATGTCTTGAGAGAAATGTTTGTGGTATTATCAAAGCTTTACGCTTTGGTATGGTCTCTTCTATCTACAAGCATAAAGACAGAGAATATGACAGTTAAAAAGACAGAAACCTCTAAAAGAAGATTAACACGAACAAAGGATTTTAGAATTCATAAACATTTTACAGTAGGTCACCCAACACTGTACAGGAGTAGTATGTGACCCAGGAGACACTCAGGCTGTGTTCCAGTCAGCACATTTCCCTCTTCATGAAGTTGGACTCACGCTTTTTGTAAGACACATCCAACGTACAGCACTGACATAGATGCATTCATCCAACATATTTGGGTTGCTACTAGTAAACTGATATTGGTATGTCAGTCTCACTGAACCTGAGCTAGCTATATGCAGAAATTTAGATGCAGTAGGTCCACCACAGCCCAGAAACAGTGAACCCTTTGTGCAAGAGCTGTGCAGCAATTCTTTCTGTGCACAGCAGTAATTTCTTTGAAGTTTCCAAAATTCTGAAGATCACCAGGAACAGCAGCATTTGCTCTAACTGGGAAATTACAAGAAACATCTAAACTGTAAATGCTAAGATATGAGACCACATCCATAAAACTTTGGTTGTAAAAAAGACCAACACACAACTGTAAAAAATATATATATATGGGAAAGTATTTATCCATCTAATCCATCCCACTATGGAATTCCAACACACATTAAAAAGTACTCATCAAAAAAGCTATTGATTACTGTTTTCAACACAAATATTAAGTGTCTGTGGGTGCCTTTTGTTCCTATTTCATGATAATAACTATGCAATAATTGGTTCTACTTCACATCATGTGAAGATAGAATTACCATTATTACTAAAATGGAGTTGAAAGATACACTCCTTCACTGCTTAGAGAGTACCCTTGTCTCTCTGTACATGTTCCTCAGAGGATAATAGCATTTAGGAGTTGAAAGTTTGCTTGCAGTCTTAGGTCAACAGGAGTATGGCATAATACAGAAACAATGGAAATATATTAATATTGATTTAGAAATGAAGCACTGACAACGTTGAGATATTTATTGTGAAAGCAGTGAGCTATTTGAAAAAAATAAATGAAAAGAGATACAAGTTTGTTTCTCAACTTTCTCTGTTTCTAAAGGGAATAAATTTTATCCTAAATCTGTGCCTCTGCCTACCTCAAAGTACTTCCTATATTTTAAATAAGAAAAATATAATAAAAATAATTCTACAAAGTAGAGCCCATAAAGCTATGGGAAGATATTTTGTCTATTCGGAGAGTCCTTTGAGACTCTTCCTAAAGTCAGCTCTTCTAGTCATAACATTAACCTTCTCTTCTATTAATGTTGTCATGTATTTTCTACACAATATCTACTATTTAAGATAGGAAACTTATTGTAGTATGTTTTCTAGGGGGCTGAAGTTCTTCATCAGCAGACTATACTGCTTTGGAGCCTTGAAGGAGCTACCATGACTTTGGGTGCCAGGTTCCAGAATGTACCAGTGATGTCTATTTGCAGTAAACAATCGTAACAAATGATGGCAACAGAAAATAATCACAAAAAAAACTTGTTACAGCACTATCTTATTTCAAACTGCAAGGAGTCATTTCCTCCATAAGATTGTCTTCCAGTGTTTACAAGATAACAAACAGTAACTGTTCAGTGCTGGTTAGGTGGAAAGAAAAGGTTATAGAAATTTCTAGACCAAGCCTAGGTAAATATAACCCTTGTATTTCCACTAGACACTTCCAGCTGTTGAAATTATTGCTAAATATATTTACAGTCCTTGTACAATAAAAAGCTTTATTACTTTTACTACAGGCAGAAGAAAAAAGCTTTAAATCTTTAGTTCTGAAGCAATATCTCCTGTCTTAAAAGCAATGAAGCCTTTCAAGGAAAAAAACAGCACACTAAAAAAAGGTGTTTTATGATGTTGTATCTTTGTTGCAATTTTGGTTCGTATATTTTTATTAAGTGTAACCTTTATATGTAAATGAAATGATTATCTAACACAAAGTACTGTTTTCATAAAGGAAGAATAGGTTTTATGTCCTGAAAGATAAAGCAGCATAAACCAGTCAGGCAGCTCAGCATGTATTTGACGACTTTGAAATGAACTATTTGATTTCCTATTACAGCCTTAACACTCTGCACTGTACCACAGCCACCAAACCCATGTGATTAGGCAACTAACCTTTCATCAGGGAGTCAAGTAATATAGAGAAAGGTCGGTATTTCTAATAAGTAAAATACCTCATTTTAAAATCTATGTTTGGAAATAACCCTTACACTGTGAAATTTAGAGAGGAATGGAAATCACATTCTGAAAACTCAGAGATATGATAAACATATTTAGGACAAACAAAAGGCTTCTACATCAAATATGCCTAGTTTATATGTAAAATATTTTTTCATTCTCTCCCTCTGCTTCAAGTGCAGCAGGACACATCCAGGACTAGAAGGGAAACTTTACACTTTCTGCTTCCCACATCACTGGACTTTGAGAAAGAACACAGAACTCTGCTTCTTGGCTGACAGACAGATCTAAGGATGCATCAAGTTCTTCCATACGTTGGGACCTGCAATTTCTGCATTTGTAATCTGTCTGACATTGAGTCAAAGGCCTTTACAGAGTCAAGGGAATTAAAGAGATTCAAATCTTATTTCTTAATTTTGTGTACATGTCTTTCACTATGAACAACATAACTAAAGCCATTGGTTCAATTACCAGCGAACATGAATGTATTTGAAAGAGAAAAGAAGATGACTTTTCAGATACATTTTTTAATAGTTATCATAACAAAACAAAGCATGACATAAGCCTTCCTCACTTAAATCTGAAAGCAGGATAGAAGCTATCAAATAATAGTGTGTATCTATCCTTATTTGGACAAAAAAAGTCCTGAGAGATGTATAGAAGATGAGAAAAATACCCGTCAAATCTAAAAAAAAATCTTGCATGTCTTTATTCTTCTGTAAAATTCCCCCTTGGTTCACATGCCTACACAAAGGTAGAGCCTAATTCACTAGGGGATTACCTGGGAAGCCCTAGAAGTTTCTGTTTTTTAAAAAGGAGAAAAAGTGGCTAACAGACAAAGAAATCATACTACTTCAGTCACAGCTGTCAAAATGAGACACACTGAATGGCTTTTTTGATAAGCAGCTGTCTTTAAAGAAATTATTAATGACTCAATGGATAAAATTGTTTTGCTCCTAAGTAAGGTTTTCTACCCCTAAATTTACAACTCTCTCTCTCTCTCTCTCAAAAAAAAAAAAAAAAAGTGATTTTTTTTTTTCTAGCAATTTGTTATATAAATCTAAATCCTCGATTTCTTATCTCTATTCTCTTTTTAATCAGGTGTATAGTACCAAGCACAATGACTTCTCATTAGATACTCTAAATGCTACAACAACGAAAACTGCCACACAGTTTAAAAACAACCTACCGTTTCAGTCCTTGTATTTTTTGTTTTTACGTTTTGTGGTCTTGGGCATTCCTTTAATTTATCATCATGAGAGAATCTGTCAATAAAGACATTTATGAAAACAAGATGGGTTTGGAGAAAGAAAATATATAGATTTTTACCTTGGGTGATTAAATTCTCACTGACATTAACATATGACAACCTGTTAGAATGATTTGTAAGTCTTTACAGGTTTATAAATAGCTTTATCTCTTCATTCCACATGAGGAAAAAGCAAAGTATTATTTATTTTACCTTTCTAGCACCACAGCATGGAATATTTCAAAGACTTATTTTAAGTTTTGTGGAAGTCTCTTGATATTAAAGGACTGCAGATACAAGATGAGGAAACCTTCTTTATATCTTCTGGCCCCCTGCTGTACATCTTGTTACACACTATTTTGTAAAAGAACTAGCTCTAATCCATACAAAGGAAATGCTTTCCTTTTATTGTCATGAGCTTGTAAAGCTAAAGCAAGCCATCATAATTTCATTAAATCATGCTGAATTACTTAAAAATGCTGAGAATGATTTGTAATATGTAATGTTTGCTCTACAAATGGATTGAATATTTATAATATTTAGTTTATACCATGCTATTTGTTCTTTAAAAAATGACATATTTGTTTTTGTTTTCTTAGTAGAGCATAAGGCAAATTATATTAATTAGGCTATTTACATGATTTCCTAACTTGGAGCAGTGAAACTTGCCTTTAGCTAGCAAATAATTGGAATTACAATTGCTGGAGATATCACAAGTTTTTTAATTATATCAAGCCCCATCAAGTTCTGATAGGACATTAATAGTCACTTCCCTTCACTGCCATTGTTTTTTCTCTGTACTAAGGCATTCCAGTATGCTCAAAAGCCATAAAACAGAAATATATGACAAGAAACAGTAATTTTCAAATTTTACTCCCAAGATTTCCAGTCTACTGGCATATTCCTTTGGGAAGATAATGACAGAGCTTGTCTTTCATGAAGACATTGAAAATAGATCGTAGTCTAAGTTATCATATCATTTTGGATAAGCAGCCAGTTTTGTTAGAAATAATAAAGTATAAAAAATACAGGAAAGCTATTACAGCACACACGTTATTTTAGCATTGTAGGAAGTTCTTATCAAGATGAGTATTGTCTTTTCCCACCTTTTGGAAATCAAAAGGGAGGAAGAAGCTTATTAATTCAACATTTTATTTTTAAAACATAGAGAGAACACAACACAACAGTCCTCCAACAAGCAGAATTATGATTGTGTCTGATAAGGTGGGTGCAATCCAGGCTTACAACAGGCTTGATTTTAATTCAGTCATAGTTATTGCATGCTTCTATGAAGGCATATAACCTTTCTTTTTTTTTCCAGTCTTTCTAGTGTTACTCCAAGAACTTTAGATAGAAGCCTTCAGAGGCAGGAAATGAATCTGACTCCAAGTGACCACCAGTGAAAGAAAGGGATATGCAGACATTATTCTTTGAAGCAAAAGGCTCCTCAATCTGACGGGGTTCTTTTGCGTCTATCAACTTTAAACATGTACCTATTTATACAACAGACAGAAAATGTATACAATATTTAAGTCAAAATAAATCTTACCGCACTGGACAGAAGAGGAAATGTAAGTGAGCACAGTAGGAAGTCAACAGCACTATCCTTTTACTTACTGGAAAGTGCCATAGGCGAAACACCTGTTGACTGATGAAATAACAATATGGACAGTTTTGTAGGATTTCTGCCTGTCTGCATTTTGTTCAGGAAATTCCAACCCCTGAAATTACAAAAATATGTATATTTCAGTTTGCTTGAAGTTTTTTGTTTGTTTCTTGGTTTGTTTGTTTTTAATTGAGTTTCTAGCCATCCCAAACAGTTGGGACAAAAAAATAAGAAAAAAGAAAAAAGTAATCTATTAGAGTTTAATACTAATGAACAAATAATAACACTTGAAGTTATTTCTTGTTTTAGAGCATAATAATATCGATTTCTTTCAAGAGTTGCAAATAGAAATGGCCCTTCCTAGGGCATTATCTGCAAATTATCTGCTAATACATTTGCATCTTCAGAAAATCCACAGTTCAGCTCCTACAGTGTTCACCCTCTCTGATTTTATATTCCCATGATCTGTATGTCCCTTCGGAACCTCATTTTCTGTCTTAAAATATCACGCAATTCCCTACCTAGCCTCCATGATTTGCACTGAGTATAGGTGAGGAACGAGCATGGAAGAAATTATTTTTCTTTAAGTAAGAGGGGTAGAGTTCTGTCATTTTTGATCAAAAAGTTCTCTCTAGCAACATCAGAAAACAACACCTACCTTGAATATCTATGAAAAATCTCTTAGAACTACTGGATTGTGATGAATAAAGAATAAAGATAAACAAACTTATGCAGTTAGCACTGAATGTTCAAAAATTTTCCACTTCTCAGATATCAGGAAGCTGTTTAAAGCTTGGCATTGGGCTGGACTAACTACTCAATAAAAATCAGGGAATATGAGAAAAATTGAGCAAAACTCCAGTACACATTTTAAAGACTTGTTTGGTGAACTGAAAATTTAGTTAACCTTTCAGGAGTTACTGTGGAAAATTTCTAGATTAAATTCAATTACAGGGTGAAATGGACATTTTTATTTCTGCTTCAAGTGCAAATTGTAACACATCAATGAAGGTGAAGCTGTTTCCAAAGTCTCCATTACCGTTTTTAAAGAGAAAAATAACTTCTTTAGTTTTCAGTATATATTGCCTGTTAATAATACAAGTGGCTCAGAAGGAGTTAAGGAAATAGGGACCTATCTACAAGTCAGGTCACCTGCTGAGATGAGATACAAATCCAGGCATGTGAATGCACAGGAACAAAACTCAATTTACTCCTCCCAGCCCACAACAAAGCCATACCTGTCCATTTAGATACATTATGTTGCTTCTAAAGAGCAGAACTTCATTTTGAACAATGTAATATAAAACTCTGTTTTCCATATAAACATTATTTATGACTATTCTTCCTTCTGCTGCAGCAACATCAATGTTCTTTTTTATCTTCATCTTTTGACTTGCCTATTCTGTGTCTCTGTCACTAACACTGGGTTAAGGAGAAACACCACAAGAGTACAGAAGCTGAAAGGGAGCTATGGAAGCCAAATGACAACATAATCTTAAACTACAAAGAAACAGTGCAAAGGATGAGTGTAAATGGGTAATTTTAAAATGGTACAATGTGACAGACCTTTGAGATAGGTGGCTTACAGACACTGGTGTTCAAATGAGATATAGTTAAACATCTATATGTATGTATGTCAACAGCAGTAGCTCCAAGGAGCAGGATGAATTGCAGCCACATCACCCATAACAGACTGCAGACTCCAACCGCTGCTACAGTTAGGCCATCACTTTGAAGGTTATTTAAGGCACACTGGCAACATACATAGAATAAGTTTTCTATCGCTTGCAAATGGGAAAGATCACATACAAAATAGCTCCATCTTAAAATTCTAAAGCACCCATGAATTGTGCTGCAGGAGGACAGCCTGCTCCACCAGGGGCCTCTCCTCCTTCTGCACTGACCTTGGGGTCTGAAGGGCCATTTCTCACTCATCTCTCCCAGCTGCTGTTGTGCAGCAGTTTTTTCCCCCTTTCCTAAATCTGCTCTCAGAGGCAGAAACAACATCGCTCATTGCCCAGCTCTGGCCAACATCAGGTCCCTTTTAGAACCTGCTGGCACTGGCTCTGATCTGGCATGGGACAGACTCTTCTCATGGCAGCCACCCCTGCATTCCCCTGCTACCAAGCCCTTTCCACATTAATGCAAGACAATGGTACAGAAATTCAAGCAGGGTAGTTCAATAAAAAAAAAAAAAAAAAAAAAAAGATGTACTGAATTAAATACATTTAAAAGATCTGAGTGGATGCTGACCTTCTGTCCCTCTCTCCTCACCAGTGGCTTTAATCTTCCTCTCACCTAGCAGCCTTTAGTATCTGCCATGACGCAAAACCTGGTCAAACTTCCCCAGCTGCCCTGAGATCTCACCTCCATCTTATTACCCCCAACCCTGGGCCATGGTTAGCAGCAAGACCCCTTCCTCACAGCAGTGGCCCCCCAGCCTGCCCCTCCTTGCAGGTGCCACCTTTCAGAAACTTACAGAAGCTTACCTTGAGCCTCTGCTGCCACTGCATGGGACTTGGCCATCAGGGCTGCCACAATCAAGGGAGCCACCAGAAGCCAGCAGAAGGAAGCCATCCCTGAGGGTCACAGCAGCTTCTTCGCACAGGCAAGAGTGCTTCTGGTGACTCTTGATGTGGGGTTTTATGTTTAACCACTGAGCTTAAGTCAGACTTGGGAGGAGGTGGGGTCAGTGTGCCTCAATTATACTGTTTTTGCCTTTAAAGTGAAGAATATGAAGGAAAGCCTTCACTTCACAGTTGCAATCTGGAGATTTGTGTCCTTAGCCTGAGCTTGAAGGAGGCAAAATAAGAATGAACACTTGACCATCTGACTCCAGAAGGTAAATCGGAAGAAAAGCGACTTTTAACTCTAGGCAATTTGCTGTAGATACAAGCTGTTTCTTATCATATTGAGTTAATCAGCAATTTCTTTGTTTTTAAGGATTATGGGCACTGATTAAAAACAAATCTCTGCTCTTTTTTCTGAAAGTCTCACTGCTCAGCCATGAAAGCATTACCACAAAAGTATTTCTGTGAAACAGCATCTTCCCACAAGCGCAACCTCATTTCAATATCAAGGTAAGAGTCCAAAATGTGTACACAGCTTTTCATAATATGCGTGGAAGCATCTAGCATAGGATTATTTTTAAAAGACTGAAAAGAGAAAAAAGAGGCCTGCTTATCTGTTACCAAATCACAACAGGATCATACAATATAGCTTATGTCTTAATAAGATATTTTTAAAAGAAATCTTAAATTATTAAATTGTTTGATATTCTTCCCTCTGGGAAATCAAAGTCAACAATGATACACTTGCTCAAATGTCTGCATGTTTCATGTGGACTGTGCTGTATTCTGTGCACTGAATCTTGCTGAAATTAGACTTTTGGGGACATATGACCTCTGTTTCTCTTATCATTGGGAAGAAAATCAATGTATTTTCTACTGTTGTGAATGCATGCATGCATACAAAGAAGTTAAGAACTAAACATTCTGATGTAATCATTCCACTATGTGTTGAAAAACATAAAATCAAGATATTACTAATCTGATAAATAGAATTTAGTAAAGAAAATAAAAACAACTAATAAACAATATACCTATTGTAGGATCCTGGACACCTAAATTCATGGAAATTATTAGGAAAAAAGAAAAAGCAAGCAGTATTTTTGTAAGTAATATTTTAATTTGAAAATTTTACATTGAAAAAGCTGACTGGCAGCATGAAGAATTTTGAGAAACACATTAATAAACTTTTTGGATCCATTTCAGTGAAAATTCAACAAACTAGAGGTAGAACTGGGCCCCATCTAAGGAGATCACCAGGAACTGTATTTGAATGATGCTAGCAAGAATAAGAAAGAGTCTTTAGTAAGGGCATCTGTAAAGGAATGGCTTCATATTTAGCGTATTAACTAGGTGTACTAACTAGGAATACTTCACTATATCTGAAACATTCCCAGTTTTACCAAAGAGTCTACATGTAAAATGAAATAAGTCACCAAGTTTTTCTGTGCCCCAGACTTCATCTGGAACACATCGCTTCACCACCACAACAAGAGTTTGTTAGGAAGGGTACAAGCGTTAAAGGAATGGGGACATAGTACAATAAGGAGTGGATGAGAGAAGAAAACAATCTGACTAGAAGTTTTAGGCACAACAGTTTATAACATGAGTAAACAATATAATATAGGGGAAAGGAATGTATTAAATAAGAAGAGAAAGTTTATTTTGACTGGCATTGACTGTGAAAAAAATAAATCTAGTATGTCTAGAATTAGACCTCTCATACTGTGTTTTTGTCCCTTCTGCAAGTCTGATGCTTCTTCACTGATGTGGTTAAAGAGGTTTTGTAGGACTTATTTGCTTTCATATTGGGAGTAAGGAATAACCATTTATACAATCTAACAGCTGGAAACAGGTAAAATAAGCACAAGCTATGCTACAGAAATCACCGATCATTTTCAAGAAAAACATGAGTCTGTCAATCAAAACATAAGTCAACGTACCATATAGCCCTAAACTAAAAGTTAGTAAGAATAATCAGTGCTGTATTATATTTTGGGAAGTCAATGGATTAGAAAAATACATTATTTTAAATCAGTCATCAGCTAAAGTAGTGACAATTCTTTAATAATGCCAGGATTGGTTTTGTAAATGAATAGACCAGCAAAAAGCTGGCTGGGTGCACTAGTAATCTTCAAAGCTTGATTGCTTTTTCTGATAGCTTTAGAAAATTAGTGGATGAAAGCATGTGTAATATATCTGGTCTGAGTAAAACACTTAATGTAGTGTCTTACAGAATCTTTACTTGCAAAATTAATTCAAATTGGCTTGGACATGGAGTACTGTCGCTTGGATTTAAAAATGTCTGGCTGAGTGCAAATAAAGGGTAATGAAAAATGGCAATGTATCAAGTTGGTGGGAGGTGTCTTGTGGAGCTCTGCAGGGATCACTGTTTGGTCCTGTTTATTTAACATCTTCATTAACAATCTGGAAGAGGGAGTAAAACAGCATGTTAATTAAACTGACACATAATAATAAATCAGGAAATGGTTCTAATGCCAGCAGTAATACTTGACAAAAATGCAGCATACTACAAAGATTTCAAGAAAGGTTAACCATATCAATAACAAAGACTTAGCTGAAATGTTATTATTTCCTTCTACCTATTAAAAAAAGTAGTCTAAAAATATACACAAAGGGGAGGGATCAGAAACCTACTAACAATCTACTAGTTTAGAGCATGATTGCACAGTATATATAAACAAAAGTAACAAAATAATATAAATTAATGAAATAATGTAATAGATAAAAGTTCTCCAGAAGAGCTGAAGTGCATTAGATTCAGTGGTACGGACTGAGTAAGTTCAGTAACCTCATGGAAAACTAGTATTTTATAGGTAGGAAGGTCATTAAATCAGTTTTCTGATGTTTTTACATGTGATTGATTGCTAAATGTAATGTAAAGGAGGGAATATACAGACAAGAGGAATTGGAGATAGGACCACATCTTTCAGTATCACTCATGGCTAAATTGGACTTAGATATAGCATAAACCACACCCTTAAGTGTAGCTTAATAGTTTCTTATGAAGTTGAAATTCAGCATTGTGGAGTACTGTTCCACAATGGCAAGACTGTAGTCTATTACTATAGCATGCAGAATTTACTTTAATTATAAATACTCTAACAAAATCAAATACATAAGTAAAAATGAAGCTGTTCAGTGAACAGTGATGAAAATCAAGCAAAGACTACAGTGAGAAATGAGAGGTCAAAAATATGTTGGAATGTTAGTACTCTATCAGACACAACTGCTTATGTTTTACAAACATAACTAATTTAAACACAGACCTTAAATATTGGTGTTATTGTCTCCCTGCTTTGAATGATTTACAGCAGCTTTTTCTGCCTGGCCCTAGGGCTGCCGTTCTGCACTGAATCATAAATGTCGAATCATTTTTAAAGGGCAGTTTGATGTTACTTCCTAAAAGGTAAGAAAAAAGAAGAGAGCATTCAGTGTCTCCTTTACCAGACCCAGTTTACATTCTGCTGGAAACTTGTGAAGTCCCCGGAAAACATAAGAGTAGCTTAAAGACTCTCATGGGTCTCACAGTTATTAAAGTATTCCTATATTACCAGGAAATTAATATAAAACAATTAGGAAAATAAAGCTTTGCAATCCCCATACTAAACTTTGTGTCTTGTTAGAGTGTTCTTGCAGCTTTTGGAGGGCAAAGCCTTATAGTCCGACAGGCAGGTAGTAGACAAGTTGACAAGTAGACTAGTCTATAGTAGACAAGCAGCCCTGTCTCTCCAGTGGAACTCTTCTGCAGAGTGGAACACTGGAACATTCCTTGTTTTCATTAAAGTTGTATTGCTTTCTCTTTAAAATGAATGCAAAGCTATTAGAAGAAATTGATAATAGCATGCAAAGTATTGATGTCACATAACTTTCTATTCATGAGCTAGGCACTGACCTGCTATTCACAGATGTAAAACCTACTTGTCTGAAGGGAACAGTTCCACTGATGTAAATGAGAACAGAGAAATCCAAATTCATTTGCCAATATATAATATGATGTATATAGAAAAGTGTTCAATACACTTTAGCAGCAGTAGAGAAAAATTCTCTTGGTGTCTGTTATGTAATCACCCTCCTGAACCTTTCTTGCAAGGTTATAGGGAAAAACCACAAAAACATTAAAGGTTGTTTAGGTGTCAGCTATTGTATTACACTTTTTTTCATTTAATTTATTCTCTGTGGCCTTGCCCTGAATGCTACTATCCATTAATGACACCAGTTTAGTTTAATTTTTAATCCTCTCTTTTTAAGGATTTGTTTTCTCTCTCTCTCTCTCTTTTTTTTTTTTTTTTTTTTCTCTTTTCCACTCCAGTATTTGTGAAGTATCTGCATTGGTCATAAACTACTCAAATTTTATTATACGTATGATTATTTTTAAACACACACACAAAAAAAACCAACTACTTATGGGAGTGCTAAGCCTTCCATTATAGAAATAATTAATCTCTTGTATTTGCAAGATAAAAATCTTTAGGGAACATATGAAAAACAGCAAAGAACAACTTTATTTTATTTTATTAAGAGGAAAAATTATATAAACAGGCCTGGTACTGTCTATTAAACTGTGGAATGTGAAAAGGCATACAAGCACTTAGATAAAGCTTTATCAGTTCTCTTCCATTTTACTCAAGGAAAAAAAAGGCATTCTACAGAATTTTCTTTATAGAAGTGTTTTGGCAAGCTCTCATTAGATCTTTTCTAAATCTTTTCAGTGAGTACTTTTTTTTTTTTTCCTTGCACATTAGCCTAACCTTCGCTATTCTAGCCTTAAGAAAGTTATATTAGCTATAATTAACTATATACTTGTTTACAAAACACACTTTCCCCCAGTTAACTGAAGCTACCTGTGTTACTTTTTTTTTTTTTTTTTAAGTTTTTGTTGTATCAATGCATTTTATATGTAGCAGCTTCTGTTTCTGCTGTAGATGGGGAAAAAAATGAAGACAAAATTGCCATTTTTCAGATCTCACTGACATTTTTCAGATCTCTCACTTTTTCTACTTCCCTCCCTCATGTTAATTTTGAAGAGTCCTTGGAAACATATACAGACTTACAAATGATGCTAGACTTACAAATGATGCTAGACTTTACTGATCCTTTCACTTAGAACAAATATACTATTTATGTATTTTTAGCAGACAAGGACATTTTAATTAATCTCTCTTCTATCAATGACTCATAAAACAAGAAACAGACACAGTGACTCGTTCCCCCTTTAAAGGGGGAATATATAATATTAGTTCAATTTTTGACAGGAAATAACATAATCTATATGATGATCTATTAGTTACTTTTCTGTGTGGACATTTTTTCTCCTACGTCTGCTTCAGATGCAGTTGCTGTGGAAGTTACTGTGCACAGTAGTCAACAGGACTACTCCAGGGATTTAAGGACTTTCAAGAAGATCCCATACATGTTATGTGCCAGAAACTATCATAGCTGGAACCTATACCCTGCCCTCAAGGAAAAAATGAAAATCCATTTCTTTCTTTTGGAGAGAAAAAATAAATAAATAAATCACTGTTCTAATACCACACTCTAAGTCTGAAACCTGAAAGTTTTAGAGATCAGTAACAACAACAACAACAAAAAGGTTATGATTATCAGTAGTACTCCTTATATAGGCTTAATTCTTTTTTCTATGTTTCAAAGCATAACTAAATGCAGATTACTTGACAGGCTTGGAGTTTGGAATAGCATTATATCTAGAGAGAATTCATAGAGTTCATTCAGATCTAAAGTATGGTTAGTTTTAGAAAATGTATTTAGCTTATGGAGAGTAGCTAAGTACAAAATAAAACTTACAGAACATACTTTTAAAAACTTGTATAGTAAATATCTATAATCCAACAATATACATTGGAATATAACAGTTCAACTTCATTAATTCATAATTTAAAAATTTAAAAATCCATACGTATAGAATGCCAGACAAAATTAGTCACAAACTCTATGATATAAAGTTAGAGAATGTACAATTCTCAAACATGTACAAAGATGCTGATATTTTTGTGATCACCACTAAAACTAGAGAGGAGCAAAGATTAATTAAAATAATATATGTTTAAAAAAATAGTTTGTGCTTTACCTTTTTTTTTTTTTCTGAATTAGAGCAATAGGCAGAGTTCCAGATGTAAGGTTGCTTCTCATGGCAGTTAACAAGCAATTCTGCTGTTATTCTTCTCTTAAGAGTTTGTTTGTATTCCAACCTACAAAGCATCCAACATCTCATTTAACACGTGCTTATTAAATATAATTATTTGCTCTCTATGTAAGTCAGTCTTGTATTCAAATGCTGATTTGGTTGTTTCAAATCAAGTTAAATTTCAGCTTCCAGCTGAGTTGTGAGCATGGTAAAAATAGGATATGCTTCTACAAATACTGACCTAACAGCTGTTCACAGGAAGGATTCACCATTTCTGCTAAGTGTGTATAAACTGCTGCATTCTGCTTTTGCAGTTCCATTTATAATCTATTTACAGGCTAAAAGGATAAAAAAGAATGAGAAAGAATTTTTCTGAAGCCACTTTTTGAGAATATCATTTAGACTGATGTCCAAACAGCTGTAGGTGATTATAATAGACTAGTTTGAGAACATTACCAGGTTACCACGTAGACCAAGTGATTTCTCTATGCTCATTCTTACTTTTTACATGTCAGAGTTCCTCAGAAATAATAAGATGATGAAAATCTTTGCAGATATAAAAAATAAGAGGCTGTTACCTCACAAATTGAATTTGCTTTGGCTATCCACTGCAGAGAATGAAGGCTTCCAGTCATCCTTAGTGATAAAAATATCCCAATCCCCTACCCAGTGCATGCAGAACATGGATAAATTAATTTTAATAAGGAGAATATTTTGCAGAATAACTCTGCAAAAGAGTACAGAAAAAATAGTAAGAGTCTGAGGTCACAGATCCACTGTCCTACCTAATGCAGGTGTACCTGCACCTGCATTGCAAAGCTGGATTGGCTTTTGAGCATTCCTTCTCCTTAGATGTTTTCCTGTTGTTTCATTTTTTATAACCATCTCATGATCAAATGCAGTAACTGGTTGATGAACATCTTCCTAGTCTACAGCAGACCTGAAGTTATGTCTAAACTGAATATGTAGCATGTAATTTAACAGTGATTTAGTGAAGCCTGTGAGTTGAGATAAAGACAGTTTATTAAGACAGGAAAATAATAATAACAATAATAATAATAACGATGATAATAGTACTATTACTAATAATGTGTACAAAACAAGTGATGTACAATGCAATTGCTCACCACCCACTGACCGATGCCCAGCCTAACCCCAAACAGTCCGGCCCTCCTCCCCCCAGCTAGCCACCCCTCTATATTGTTTAGCATGACGTCAGATGGTATGGAATACCCCTTTGGCTGGTTTGGGTCAGCTGCTCTGGATCTGTCCCCTCCCAGCTCTTGCTGCTCCCCCAGCCTGCCCATTGGCAGGACAGAGTGAGAAGCTGAAACGTCCTTTGCTTGTTGTAAGCACTGCTCTGCAACAATTAAAACATCAGCATGTTATCAGCACTCTTCTCATCCTAAGCCAAATCATAGCATTCTACCAGCTACTAGGAAGAAAATTAACTCTGTCCTAACTGAAACCAGGACAACCTATTAGTTTGACGAGAAGAATTTTATACAGAAAATATTAGCAATTAGACAAGATTTTGTTGAGAGACTTGCAGCACAAGTTTCTCTGCTTTTACTGGTTTCCAAGACACAAAGATGATTAGACTCGAAAGGCAAATGAGACTTTCAAAGGGATGGCAGAAGAAATGATAGTAGCTACTATGTTTTTCCATCATGAGCTAAAAACTGTATTGACTGCTATACTGAGTAATTTCAAAACCTTGATGTAACTCAAGAAGAAATAAAATAATTTGTCTGTACTAGAATTCTTTTCAGTCCTTTAATGTTCAGTGATAGCCCTATAGACATCCTGTTTAGTCCTTGAGAGAAATGTACTGAGGAAATTACTGAATTCCAGTACAGTCAGTGTAAGAGGCAGGATTCTACAAAGGATCGTTATTTTACCAGCCAGAATATTTAAACAATTTACGGTAAACTAATGCAATGTATGTTGCTACATTTAGTGTTAAGGTATGTTGATATGTGAAGACAGATACCAGTGATATCCACAATATACTGTTGAGCAAGTGTGCCTGTATGTGGAGTTTCCAAGATGCCATAACAAGAAAATGCTATGTTTGATCAAATTATGTTCTAATAAACAGTAAATTGGAAGAAAATGAAATAAAATGATAATCAGGAGTAAAAGCAGAACACGTTGGCTTTTTGAAAAATTCAATGTCAAGTAATACCTAACATACAAGGGATGGCAACATTAAATTACCTGGAAGAGCCTTTTTCTCAGACTGCCTCATTTCCATTGTGTATTTTGCCAATTATATACCTGATAGAGAAGAAATAGTAATCCATCCCAATTGCACAGGACAGCATGTACCCCAAAAACACTATATTTTTGCATTCCCCTGAAAAGACAATCATCTGGCTTTGTTTTGTGAGGTGCGCATTCCCACAGAAAAGCTGAGTGCTTCCTTCCTTCTCATTTAAAGAAGGATGAGTCTGACTGAGAGGTTCATCTGTTCAATTTGTACTGTCTATATGTACTACTCATCAGATGTACTAGAATCTTGTTTGTTAAAGTAATTTCTAACAGCAGTCAAATTTTCATATACCCCAGACATTTTCTTCTATAGAATGGTGCCTTTAAAAATAAATAAATAAATAATGCAGTGCCGAATAGACTCTCTGAATATTTATTTTCGTTTAAATCTCTTTCTCATGGTACAACTGAAGCTTCAGCAGCAAGAAGAAACTTTAAAAATGCTTATCCTTCCATAAAAGGTCTAAAGTAATATCAGTAATACAACTTTAAGAATTATACATTGTTATCATAGGCTGGTCTGAAAATTCTGCAATTGCTTTTTCTAGCTAAATACCTGTGTTGAAGTTACACTGGAAGTTCAGACCAACTATCGATCTTTTAAATGGTTCAGAGCTGCTCTTACAAAAATGCATCTCCAACTGCCTTTCCTGCTCTGTAATTTGTGAACTTCAGCTTGTTATTTTGGAAAACATTTTGGATCCAGAAATAATGTAGACTGTTTGGAAAATTGTTCTTTAGTGTACATTATGTTTACTCTGTTGTAACATTACCAGAACGATAACATTTTTGTATTTAGCAACTGAAAAAAGCTGGTGGCTGACATCTTAAAAGCTTGGAGAAGGTTCATTCACTCATAGAAAATCTATTCATTTATATGATCTATCCAGATGCTCCTTTCTATGAAGTAATAAAATGATTTAGTCAAGGAGTATTATATTATTTACAAGACTGAAGAACACCAGGCAAAATCTCAATGTCAATGCTGACTAGATTTAAATCTCTCAGGGAGCTGCTAAAAATATGTATTTGAGAAACTATATATATTCTTAAAAATAATATGTAATATACAATGTAAACAAGTATTTGAGAAGTATGAGTTTCTGTTTTCTGTCTGACCCCAAATATGATCTAATACTTTTATTGTGGAACACACTGTATCATGTTTATATGTTAGTGTACAATGACATTAAATATTCCAGTTTATGATCCAAGTGTTTTGGGGGTGACTAAAGTCTTTGGGGTAATCACTAAATTAGAGACTTCATATTTTTTCTGTTGTGGACAAGGCTTTGCTGGAAGGAAGGACAAGGCTCTGTTCTTTAGATGGTGTCATTAAGAGAAAATAATACAATGAATAATTGCTAAATTAGAATGGGATGCAGAAAGATATCCTGCATAAGAAGCAAAAGTAAAAAGAAAAAGAAAAAAAGTTTGGTGAAGGGACTAGAAAAATATATTAAAAAAAAAAACAAACACATAAGGAAGGAAATGAAGCATGGAATATGCTGTAAGGAAGAACAGCAAAACATGACAGCATAATCTAAAAATTTCAGTCATTATAAAGGAAACAGTAAAGGTTGAGAGAGAGGTTTTTGTGGTTTAATCCAATGTCTGTTGTGTGAATGAGCACACAAAGTTTTACCTTTCAGTATATAGAATATTTGAATGTGAAAGTAGTAGCAGATAAACATTGCATATTTCTTTGGTACAAAATCAGAATCATTCCCTCTAATAATTATAACTTCTAGGGCTCAAAAGCCCTTGAACACTGAATCATCAGAGTTGAATAGCATTTTCACAATGAGGAAACCTGCGAAGCAAGAGAGTTTAAGAGTTTAGGGACTACTTCACACATTGTAACAGACTTTATTTATTGCACCACATTAGAGGTCAGCCACAGTTAGTTTTGGTCTCTTTAAACTTGGTTTTTATATTTTTCTCATATGTGGAATTTCAACATTATCACCACTAGGTTTTCCCAATAGGAGCTCTCTACTCTCACTAGAAGGTTCTCAGTATAACAGGAAAATTGGGCATCACACGCTGCCTTATAGACCCAGTCAAGAAGATTGAATATTTGACAATGAAGATTGTCAAAAACAGAAATGCTATTCTATTTCATCAGAACACTAGCTCACAAATACCTGTCACTGCTTTCCACAAAACTCCCATTTGTAACTTTGCTGCTCATGGTAGCCCCAGTCACATCGCATTCACAGAATAATTCAAACACTGCAGCCATCTGCAGCCTTACATGCATTTAATCGTTTCAGCAGCCAGCCTGCATTTTGAAGTCTTCGTGATTGTAAATTTTGGTAGTGAGGATTAAAATTTTCCATTTACTCTTATTTCATTACAGTTCTGTTTGTCAGTATAGGTGGTCATAAAACAGAATTATCCTGTGAGAAATTCCAACCTGTAAGGTCTTTCTAATCACAAAAAGTCTGTCTAAAATTTAATTCAGAATAAAAGAGTGAAATCACTTGGTTTTATAATTAAATAAAATTTTCCATTCTTAAAATATATTATTGAATTTTTATAATACTGAGGTGTATATCAACATACAAAATATTGAGCAGCAGATTAGAAAATTACCAGAGGATATGTTAAAAGTCTAATTTTTAAGTGCACTCAGGGAAGCATTAGATTCCGAAATGCCCTCCAAAGTCATTGGAGGAAGGAAAGTATTTCTGTACAGTAACAGGATGCCTGAATTAGAAAGGTCTTTGCATCTTCATAGATCCAAGAAAAACATCATTGTAAGACTGATGTGAAATGAAAATCCAAATCAAATACTTCTATTACAGTCAAAACTGGAATAAAATCTGCCTGGTTTATGTAAATTTGCTTTTGAGTATGATGAATTCATTTACATATTCTTAATAAGATCTTATTGATCTTAATTTAATCTTATAATTAAAAAAAAAAAAGCAGAAAATATTTAAAGCTACTTTGAGTGAAATATATATTGTGTTAAATTTGTTTGTTACAATGCTAGAATATACACTATAAGCAACACACTATTTACAGAAGTCCTTTGAATTCTATAGAATAACTAATTGGTTTTAAGAACATATCTGTTTTCTAATCCGCTTTTATCATAGTGGATCTGATTATTTAGAAGTTGATATTTAATTCCAATTTCTTTTTTTTTTTCCTTCTAGGGTAAAAATCTTTAACGTTACCTCAACAGAGGGAAAGAAGGGTGAGTAAATTTTGCTTTTTCTCTGTTCAGCAAGCATCTGATGTCAACAAACCAGTTTTTAGTGTTTTGGACTTCATGTACTCCCAGTAGTGTGCCGGAAATGAAAGACCTGTGAATTCATCTGAAAGAAGTTCGGATTTCAGCTGTCTTGGAAATATTGTCTCTGAAGTGTCTGAAATCCAAGAGGCACCCAAATTCCACTGGCTGATGGAATATCACTGCTCTGTTGACCTTCAGAAGGTCTACTTCAGAAGGTCTTCCCCATGTTTTCTTGTCATGTACCTAAACCAGTAGAAATTCTCATATTTCAGGTTTCAACCTGACCTTGCAAAACCGTGCAAAAACCTAGCATCTTTTTTTTTTTTTGGTACATTAGTACTTACACAACAATGACAAAAAAATGGTACTTGCAACAGCGTTACAGTGTTATGTCAGAATTTCTGAAGATTATACAGACATAAGATTAAAAAATGTATAGTAAGTGACATGAAGATTCAGTTCAGCTGTCATTTTTGTACATGACTTATACTTAGCCCAGTAAGTCAGAGGATGGACCAGTCATGCTAACTGAGCCTGAAGCAAAAAGTGGAAATGCTGTGTCCCCTCTGACCTAGAGCTTTCTTTGGGGTGACTT